GTTTGTTTGCATGCTGAATGGACGACCTTTCGTAATGTTTAATCGAACGATTACGTTGGAAAACGTTCCTCGGTTTGCTTAGACAACATCTCATCACCAGTCAATTACTGTATAGGATCTTACACCACCGTAATCAGTTGATACTCATGTAGAAGTTGCTCAATAAATTTAGGTTTTATGCATGAGCAATGCGCATTTTGCGCATGCTATCGATGTGACTGATGCCTTTCAATATCATTCAACAACGAATAAGATAGTGAATAATCACTGAAATATGCATTTGCTAGAATCAAAATGATCATTCAAACAGTTTTTATCGACCGGATCACTAGTATCAAATTCAATCTTGTAGGGATTACTATGGCAAGTGTTCGCAGATTTATGTCAGTTGACTCAGTTGACTTGTTGACTGCATTGACGCATTTCAGGTGAGTATACTATCACCATCACTGTTCAGTTTGCACAATGAAGGCAAAGGCTTGGAAAAAGCGTTGAGTATACCAAATGCGATTAAAGCGTTGAAAGAGAGCGATCAACGTGAATGGTTGAATTTCATTGTTGAAGCATCTGGAATCACTGATGCCGTACAAGAAGCTAAGGTCTTTCTTGTAAATTCTCTTGACAATTTCGAACTTCCAGTTTATTTCCCTTAAAAGTCAGCAATATTTTCGAATTCATCAAAGAAACAGATTAAAAAAGTCTGCAAGGGAGCAGATTAAATTTCCGAAGTTTCAGATGAATTTTAAATTGTTGAAATCGCTTCATGATCATTTGAACTTTTGAGGAAGTTTTCAGGAGAAGAAATTGAAGCAGTTGAATGAGACTGTAAATAATACACGAGGAATCGATGGACAACCGCTGTATTTTACAAAAGAGAATGTTACTGAGCTGTATGGTGCAAAGGAAGGCTACAAAATTGATAAGTTCGATGAACTACAACGAAGTTTCACTAAGAATCAGGTTTATTCGAAAAACTAAAAGCTTAATTGGTCCAACAAATTAGATTCAAATGATATGAGTGCATCTTTATATTCGAATACGCATAAGTCAATTTAAATTCAAAATTTCAAAGCAAAATTGCCCACTGATGGCTGATTAAGTGTCAGTGGTGAAAATGGATCTTACAAAATGGACCCGTATATAGATCATGATATCCTCAAGTATCCAAGACGGACGTTGTTCAAATTATGAATGAGATCAACATGTTTATGACGTCTATCAAAAACTGTCTCATGCAATATCAAGTTTCAATCAACAAGCATTAACTAGAACTTATTCACTGTCTAGATTATCATTTTGTCCAAAAAAACAATATTGCCTCCATGAATTTCCATGAAAATAGAAATTCTTCACTAAAAATCCGCGAGAAATTACAGGTCAATGAACTGAATTCAACCGGCTTCTCCATAATGGATAAACACCAAATGGCGCTCTTTTACGGTAAAGACTCACCATACGACGATGAACTGGCACTGAAACGATTCGGTGCTATGAACCGAAAGCAAGTGCTCACAAATCTGGAGCGTGATCTTCGCCTGATCGCGCAAACGGACACAATCTCGCTGGAGAGAAGGCATCGCTCAAAGCGAAACATCGTCGGTGGTGCGTCTATACTTGCGCCGTTCGTATTTGCCTCATCAGTGCTTTCGAATACGTTCGTTGTTCTACATCCGGTGGTATTGTCACCTTCAATTTTGACACCCACCGTGCTCGGACCGTTCATTCTCAGTCCGTGGGTGTTTGTGCCCGTCATTCTGTCACCTCGTCTCTTGTCCCCATTGATTCTGAATCCGATTGTTTTCGTTCCGGTTGTTCTATCACCATTAGCACTACATCCGTTCATTCTATCGCCTGGCGTTATGAATCCGTTCGTTTTGTCGCCGTTTGTTCTGACACCGTTCATACTCTCTCCACAAGTCTTAACACCGGTCGTGCTGTCCCCGTTTGCGTTGAGCCCGTTTATTCTAAGTCCCATAGCGTATTCACCATTGGTGCTCAGTCCATTTGTTCTATCGCCACTAATTTATTCACCATTATATTTATCCTACGTAATCATGAGTCCTTATGCTGCGTCGCCGTTGATCAAAAGCGATCTGATTGATAGTGAGGTGTTCTTGTCGCCTAGTGTGCTTAGTTAATCAATCGAATCTTATTTGATGATATTCTTGATCTGTTATGATCAACGACAAATCCAAGTCACTTCACNAATCAATCGAATCTTATTTGATGATATTCTTGATCTGTTATGATCAACGACAAATCCAAGTAACTTCACCGAACGAAGTTCGTGAATCACAGCTCGCTGACCAGATAAGTTTTAGCAATTTTAGTTCTGCAAGTCAACATATTGTAAAAGAGTTTTGTGCTACATGAGTCTATGCCTGCTAATGCTATACTCATCTATCCCTTGGAATGACTCTCTCGGATATATCATATATATATATATATATATATCCTGGCTGATAATAGATCCTCTCGGAAGCCGGTTGTGCTGTCGAATTTTCAAAGTTCGAAAGAATGAGAGAGGCTAAACAATATGCAAAACACTCTTGAGACCACTGAATGAACTAACTTCTTTGATCATAATGGCGTAGCTTCAGCAATAGTGTTTCACAGGGTAAATTTAGTGGGAATTGTTCTCAGTTGCTCACAACTACTTTGGGCATTTTTTTAACGATAGCAACCGTTTTTTTCCCAAACATCAATTTACATTCAACGCTCACCATAAATGATTTCACAAGCATTTGTTTATGTCACTGAAAAATTTGAATAGGAAAACTGTAACTGAATTTTCAATAATATATTTCATTCTTCACTATTTTTGAAAGGATTGATCACCACCAACATAATTTCTCATTGAACTTGATGTGTTTCGTTTAAGTATCATTTGATCATTCACTGTTCGCTGTTCTGAGTCCACTTTTCCAAGTGCTTCTAACATTAAAGAACTTGAATTCAGAGTAATTTTATGTTGGTGTGCGATTATTATATGCGGCTTAGTTGGGATGGGTCGAAATCATATGATCTGCCTGCATCAAATTGTCCTTCT